TTCGACTTTGTAATATCGATTCCACATATTCGATTTAAGTACAATCGAAATACTCTCGTAGTGTAGACATACCCTAAGTCTCATTGAAAAGTTATAGGACGTAGAGTCCTAAATTACTTACTCAAATTACTTTTGAACATTTTACCCTGAATTCCTTTAGTGTGTAATCCCTCTGCATGGGTTTCCCATTCCAGAGTGGCTGCACCTGTGTCACTATGATTTGGACTGGAGGCATCTAGGAATCCATCTCTAAATCAAGATTGTGCCTGGAATGCCACCAGGTCAGAAAGGCTATGAAGCTGTCTGTTACCTGAAGCAATGTGAGAGTCCCTGGGATGCTTGCTTTTACTGAGGTCACTGAAGTTGTCTCTTATGAACATATGCCATGGCTACTACTGAATATGTTTGCAGCCATCAGATTCAGTGTTCACAGTATTGTCCTAGCGGTCACCTGTTGGCTTTTGCTTAATATTAATGCCCATCTGGTGATGTCTTGGATACTGTCTGGGCAGGAATATTTGAGCTGTGTCTAACAGGGCTCCTATGTACTCCAATCATCTACTGGAGACAAGATGGGACTTGGGCAGTTTATGATAAACACAAGGTATCCAATATCCCTGTTGTGTTGGCTTTTTGAATGCTAAGAAGTGTCCTTGATAACCTAATTGTCTAAGTGGGGGAACACATGCACCTACAGTTTGTGCAGATAGGTTACAACTGTGATGGGTTCAGTCACAGAGATCCCCTTGGGACTGTCACCTGACGTGCTGAAATTACCTCTTAGCCTGTTTTCCCTGCCAGTTCGGGACTTCCAGAACCCTGTCTTGTTGAGCCACACATGCTAGCCTGCTGCAACACAAACCCAGGGTCTGGTCCACACCCCCAAAGCTGCAGACTTAACTGAAAACAGCTCAGCAGGTTATCTGTCTCCAGCACCCAGACACCAAGCTCCCAATGGGATCCAAACCCCAAATAAATCCGTTTTACTCTGTATAAAGCTTATACAGGGTAAATTCATAAATTGTTT